TATCGAGCACCTGCCGAAACCCTTGGTGTTTGGAGGAAGCGGGTAGCTGTAAAACAGGCGACCGTTAAGAAAGGACGAGAAATCGTAAGTCTCATCCATTGGCATTACCTAACCCCGGTTACAACCTAACCTATCTAATCCTTTTTTTTTTTTTTTTTACATAGGAGAAATCCTTTATGGATACCCTGACCCTGGGGGAAAGGTCAGGGTTATGTGGAAATCCCTTCTCTCACCCTCGAGCGAGAGGAGGTGTACCCACTAAAACTCCCATGGTGTGTCTACCCTGCTCTTGGTAGGGAGGGATCCGGGATTCCATTGTAAGGATGCGCGCGGATCCACCCTGGAGCTGTTTACTGCTGTGGGGAGGAGAATAGCAGAGAAAAGTTCTTCTTCATACTTCCTCCCCGAGCATTGGGTGCTTCGTCCTTGTTCTTGGTGTCACCTCGGGACACACACCGTGGTGACACCCCATCTCTTAGGCCGCGTGCAGAACGAGCCGAGGCCTCCACACTCGTCACGGCCCCGCGGCGGCTACTGAATAAAAACACACAACCGTGATGGACGGTACCACCACGAATGACACGGGAAATGACAGCCGCCGCCCGCTTGCTTGCGCGTCAAAGACGCATCCCCGGGAACGGTGGGCTAACGAGAGGCACCGGCTCCTCTTAACGCCCACCGCTCCGTTATAATTAAATCTCCCCATTCCTTCTCAGTGAGAGGAAAGGGAGACTTATTGTCACATGGGGGGCATGCCACGACCCCTAGGACATACGCGGGAGGCGGGGGCCCCGCCACCCGCTCGCGCACGTCTTTGGGGTCTCCCCAGAGAGAGAGGTAGTCTCTCCCTCTTTTGTTCGGCTGCCTCCTTCTGCTCTATCACCGCGGAGCAGAAGGAGACAACCGCTTCCCACTCGTCTCTCTCCCTGGAGGCCAACGCCCGTAACAGGCCCTCCAAGGAGAGGTCTTCTCCTATTTTGGCGACCAGTTCTTGGCGCTCCGGAGCCCACCGTGGACACTCTTCCACGGTGTGCTCCACCAAGTCGCTGGCCGCCCCGCACGCGTGACATTGCGTCGTTGACTCGCGTCCGATGCGACACAGGTACTCACCAAAGCAGCCATGCCCGGTAAGCACCTGCGTCACACGGTAAATGAGACGTCCGATCCCGTTGTCCACCCACACTCGTAAGTGGGGTCGGACGACCCGGACGACTTCCTGAGCGTCCACGTCTGGCTCGCTCAGGAGCTGCTCTCAACTAAGGAGCAGTTGTCGCCAGGCTTGGCGCTCCGACCTGGCGAGGGCCTGCTGCAGAGCATCCCCTGTAAGTCCCTCTCGCTGGAGTTCGACTCGGCGAGAGTATCTCGCCGAGTACACGCCAGCAAGGAGAGCAAAGGGAGGCATCCCCGCCAGTACGCCCGCCGTCTCTCTCGCCACCGTACGGAAGCCGCATATCACGCGAAGGGCTGCTACTCGTTGGGAAGCGCGGAGCAATGCAAACTTACTCCGCGCTCCTGCCCTTGAAGCGGCTTCCGCCCACAACGGTGCCCCATATAGGGCCACCGAGTGGACCACGTTGGCGTAAAGACGGCGAGCTTTATGCTTCGGTCCCCCAAGGTTCGGTTGAATACGCGCCAGGGCGTTGGCGACCTTCCGAACCCGGGGGGCCAGGCGAGCAAAGTGCTCGTCGAAGTGCCATTTCGGGTCGAGGTAAAGACCAAGGTACTTAATAGTCGTACCTACCTCGACCCGTGCCTCATCTACGGAGAGACTGAGCGCTGGGGGCCGTCCACGGAAGTGGTTGAAAAACCACATGGCTTCCGTTTTGTGGACGGCCACTTTAAGGCCCAGTCTCTCGATGCGGTTAACGACGCAATTCGTCCCAATCTCTGCAAGCAACCTGGTTTTGCTCCATTCGTCCCCAGAAGCAACTATCAAAGTGTCATCTGCGTAGCAGATGATTGAAAGTCCTCTGGGGAGCGCGGCCTGTATCACCGCATTGTATCCGAGGTTCCACAGCAGCGGGCCGAGAACTGACCCCTGTGGAACCCCGCGGTACATCCTCCTTTGCTGCAGTGATCCGTACCGGCCGGTATACCTAATCTCCCTGCCACGGAAGTAGTCTCCGAGGAGCCTACTCAGATAGGGTGGGATTCTATGATGTTCCAGAGCCCACCCTATGCTGTCCCAGGGGAGGGAATAGAAGGCGTTGGAGATATCGAGAGACACTGCCAACGTCCTCCTCCCCTGCCTGGTCGACGCCTCCGTGAGGGACTTAAGGTGGAACACGGCGTCCACCGTTGAGCGTCCCCCACGGAATCCGTACTGACAGTCGGCCAGGTCGGGACCCTCTTGTGACAGGTGCTCGACGAGGCGGTTGGCAACAATGCGCTCCAGGAGCTTGCCCGCCTCGTCGAGTAAACAAATCGGCCGGTACGCGGATGGCGAGTCCGCAGGCCTTTCTCCTTTGTGGAGCAAAACCAGGTTGGCTTGCTTCAAATCTGGGGGGAACCAACTGGTTCTCAGGCAGTCTGTCAGGATCTGCCTGAGGCGCTCTCTCAAGGGACTTTGTCCAAAGGCAAAGCCCAATACTTTGCCGGGCACGCCGTCGAGACCGGGGGCGGTATTCTTCCGCGTCATCCGACGGACGGCCCGGCGGAACTCTTCTTCTGTGACCCCCAGTTCGTTGGACCACTCAACCGGGTGGTCCAACTCCGGCTGCTGGGAGGGCCAAGTGCCTCTCCCGCCGGGAAAGAGGGTCGAGACCACCCTCTCCAACAACTGGAAGTCCAGGCTCTCCGTGACCGGCGGGGTCTAGGGGCGTAACTTGCCCATTACCAAGCGGTATGGGCGGCCCCATGGATCCGCGTCGATCGCCTCGAGGAGCTCCTGCCACGCTCGGGACTTTGCCTTCTTAATGGCGACTCTGAGGGCTTTACGCGCGATGCGATAGCCCTTATAGGCCGCCTCCGCTGCTCGGATTGCCTCGTCGCCACGATGAAGTCGGCGACGGGCATGTGTGTACCGGTGGTGGGCTCAAATGCTCCTTCTCCGGAGATCGGCTATCTCCTCCGACCACCAGTACACGGACCTCCGACTCGGTGGCCCGCGAGAACGTGGCATGGCCGCGTCGCAGATCATGACCAACGTCTCGCGGAACCACCGGAGCTCCGCTCGGAGGTCACGCGGCCCGGCCGGTGGACTTGGCCAGGCCGCGGCCTGAGCAGCGGCGGACAGGATACTTGGGTCCAGCTTTCTAAGGACCCACCCTTGGGAGCGGGGGTGTCGTCTCTCCCCGTGGCAACCCCGAGGGGGGCCAAGGAGCTCGGAGACCCTCATCGTAATGTAACGATGATCGGAGAGAGTCTCCAGATCGTTCCTGACCTTCCACTCGGACACACGTGCAATGGCGGACAGGGAAGCAAAGGTCACATCGACGATGGATCCCCCGTTGCGCCTCACGCACGTGTGTTGCGTGCCCTCATTGACTGTGGCAAAGCCGCAGGCCGCCATGCATTTTTTGAGGGCCCTTCCACGTACATCGGTCCTGGAGAAACCCCAAGTCACCGACTTGGCGTTAAAGTCCCCTAGGACCAGTAAAGGACGGGGCTGGAGGCGGCGTATCACCCGCTCCAGCCCGTTCAAGAACTCCTCAAATTCGTGGAAGGGCCTCGTAGAGGAAAAATAACACCCCGCGATCGCCAGTTCCCCTCATTTGCATGCGACAAACCCTTCTCCCCTTTCAAGGGGGGAGAAGAAGGTGAACGCATGTCCCCACCGAAAATGTAAGGCGACCGAGCCGTCCCTCGACCCCAGCCACGACGGGTGGTCTGGGACGAAGTAAAGCTCGGCCGCCACCGCAAGGCATCCATCTAGCTCCGCGAGGCTATGCACCAGGAGGTCCTGAGCCTCGCGGATGTGATTTAGATTGCCCTGGAGGAGTAAGGACATTATGTAGTGTCCATTACATTTCCCTCCAGGGCCCTGCTCTCAGGAGGGGAGGGAGGTGCAATCCCCTCACTGGAGGACGCTGCAGTTGTTGGTACAGCGGCCGGTACTTCTACCTGAGGAGTGGACTGAATGCCACTCCTCTGTGTGGTTTTGGGTGCCCGTTTACCCTTGCCGGGGGCAGGAGCGCACGCTCTGCCTCCCAGGCGGTGGTTTGCGGGACGCCCAAGATCCGCGCATAAAGGGCACTTGGGTGCCGACGTGCACGTTGACACCCTATGTCCCCGGTGGGCGGGTTCCGTTTGACCACAGTACGATTCGACACCGCTCGATTCGACACAGATTTATTCGACACCAAATTATTCGACACCGTACGATTC